AAATAAATCTAATTAATAATTAGGTTACAAAACTAAACAGGTTGTCATTGTAATAACATAATAAAGATGAGTATTAATTACACAACTTGATATGAAAATTTAGTATCAACTTTGGTAGAAATAGAAAAATAGAATGGTGTTTAAAATCATTAATAATACTTAGCCAATAAAATAATCCTCTAAAAAATTGGGTTAAAAATAAAAAATCAAAAGAAAAAGAAATAAGGGCAAGAAAAAATCTTTAGATTAAATACGAATATAAAAAAGTCATGTCATATAATTTATTATATTAGTAATCAAATTTTATTAAATTTAACTTGATAATGTAATATTTAATGGAGAACGTCTTAATTACGATTATTAACATCATTAATATCAAAATTTTATATTAATATTTTAATTAATGATCATTAAAGCCATTTATAATAACTAGAAAACTTAGAGAATTATACTCTGAAAAAAACTAATAAAAATACAAATTTTAAAAATTATTAGTTAATAATTATTCCTGATTACTAATTTTATAATGATAGATTAAATTATCTAAATTTATTATTGAATCATATATAAATTTTGAGATATATGTTATTAAAATAAATCAAATTCATGAATGTATATATGTGATTACTTGTAGACAAATATTTGTTAAGTTTGGAAAAATTTATTGATGAAAATTACATTTAAAATTTCAATTTTTTATACAAGTTTTTTTATAGAAAACCACACAAGTGAAAAATTCAAAAGAAAATAAGAAAATCAAGTACAGCACTGCAATGTTGATCGCTCAACGCCTCAATGTTAATTAAGTTAAATGGGAGCAAATACGTGAGAACATAGTGTCATAATACTATGTTTAGAGCACCACAACTCTAGATGATAAGCGTCATAGTGTTGATGATGAACAAATACATAAAGAGAACTAAGAGCTTAGCAACGCAACACCTATTTTTGACTCCGCAACTCTTAAGGTTGAACATTGTTGTGCTAAAGTTTGAGCACCACAACATTTAAGGACGTCGTAGCTTGAGGAGTACTGTAGTGCTATGAACCTGAAAAATTAAGGTATCAAGACGGAAAACATAACTTCGCAGCGCTGCCAACTATTAATATAACTCCACAATACTATTTCACAATGATTTATGATAAACCTTAAGGGTTTCTATGTGTAATGTTTTGATTTTATGAAAAACAAATCCATATTGTTTTGCTTTACCCAATCCTCATTTATTTATGATTTGTTTAGTCAAATATTAAAATCACATGTTATATAAAGGTACCATAAAAAATATAATAAAACAAATAAAGTAAACCAAACAATTCTTTAAGTTTATAGACATATTACTTGCAGTTGTAATCAAGCTGAGTCGAGCTAAGTATATGGTAGATTGAACTTAGCTAGGTAAAATTATATGTTGTTCATGTTTGGCTCAAGCTTTCACATTTATATTTAAGATTGGCTTATTTAAATTTTTTAGTGATTGAATTTGATATGTTTATGTCAAATGAACGACGATTTAAATGAGTTGATAAATAAGCTAAAAATTCGAATGAGTATTTGAGTTTTCATATAAAATTTTCAACAAAAGATTTTACAGATCTAAATAAAGAGTTATTGAATAAATTTGAATATCTAATCATATTACACAAAAATAAGAAATTACATAAATTATTAATATATTCATAGATGAAGAAAAAAGTTAAATCTATACAGTATTACATAACTAATGTGGATTATATAATTAATACTTAGATATTATGTATTTAGATAATGATTGATTAATTAATTAATTAATATTAAAAATGTGATTGATTAAATATGATGGATAATGATGTCATAATTATTAAAAAGAGTTAACTAATAAATATATATTAATAGATAAATTATAATTAATAATTAATTCTAAAATATTATTGATAAAATAATATATTACTACTAAATATATAATTAAATAAGTTCTAGAAATCAAAGTTTATTCAAATAACATAATATGAGTTATCATCGAGTTTAATATTGAACATTTAACAAGTTAATTATTGTACAGCAAACGAGTTTGTTCATGAACAAAAATAAGCAGGTTATACAATATTAATGTTTAGTTCATTTAAGCTTCGAACTTTTAAAAAATATTTAAGCTTTTTTATTTGCTAACTTTTAATCGAGCTAAGTTCAAATCGTTCATCGAGTGCATTGGTTCATTCACAACCATAATCATACTTTAAGATTTGCAATTGAGAAATATTTTAAAACAATCATTTGAACTAAATAAGAATAAAAAATATACCTAATCAATACAAGTGATAAGCTTTCCTATGTTATCTGAAGACAGAAAACAATACTGCTCTCGATTGACAACAATAGTTGAAATAGCGTTCAATTACAATCACGCATAAGCATCACTTAAGGCAAACAATAGATACAAAGTATTGTCTCTCAATATAAAATCATCAAAGTTAGATTATGTGGCGTAAGTCATAAAAACATTTTCTTAAAAACTTTTTTTTAATAGTTAGATAAAACAAAATTTTCAAAATTTAGTAATTATCTTAGCAAAAATTCTAATTCGTTCATCATGAGAACAATATTCTTTTCATTACTTAATTACTTGAAATGATAGCATAAAATTGTGGTCAACTATATACTCAGTTATTCGAAGAATGTTTCTTAAATACCAAAGCTATCATAGGATCTTGAAGTATGGCAGGTGGTGAGACAACTTCTTTCCGGAGTTAAACCATCAACATTGTTTAAATAAAACTTTAAAAAAATTATAAGGATGAATTAGTAATCAGAGAAGAAGTAGACGATAAGAATAAGAGACTATTTGAAATTAAAGGAAGTTTCTGGTACCATATTAAAAAATATAAAAAAGGAACACTACATTTCCAATTCCAATAAGTGGTATCGCATTTATAGCCTAGGTGTGGGTATATATTAGGAAAAAAAAGCAAGAGAGTAAAATTTGGCCATAATCAACCCAATAAAAAAGGAAAGCTTATGCATGGAAGCATAACTTTTATATAAAAAATCAGGAAATGAATGTAAAAAATAATGCCCTTCCTTATGAGCTAAATGGACAGCACATGAATATATATACCAAGCAAAGTAGCCCTAAAGACAATGGCAGTAGGTGGCCACGGATGAGCTAGCAGAAGGTTGCAGTAGGTTGGATACATATCTCATTGTAAAGGATGTGAATTTACTGCTGATGTTAGAATTGAAGAGTTGATTCAGAAATTCCGCACAAAATAGGCTAAAATAAGGGAAAAACGAAAACAATGGAAGAAAATAATTAAAAAATAAAGCATTCGTAATTAGCTGATAAAGACTGATTAAAAGATCTACAAGTTCATTGGAAGATATTATTAGAAGATAAAACAATACCAAAGTGTGATATGTTTAAGTACCTCGTATCTATTATAATGACATGTGGGCAATGTAGATAAATTTATAAATTTTAGAGCTAAAATTAGATAATTAAAATAAGGAAATGCATCAATAGCATAAAGGGATAAGATGTTAGGGTGGAGACTTAAATATAATTAAATAAAATCAAAATTAGGACATCAACGCTACATAAATCTGAGTAACTGGTGATAAAAAATTTTTGATATCTATGTTAAGCATGAATGGAAGGAGAATTTTAGGATGGATGTATATAAAACTAGAAAGGATTTAGTAAGGATTGATTATATTAGAGAAAACAACAGAGTGAAGTATTAAAATCAATTTAATTGAATAGACTTAATTGGTTTGAACCCGCACAAATAAAGCATACAAAATCTACTAATTAGACAAAAGGATGAAAATGGCTCAGAAGAAAAAAAACAAAGATAAAAATTGCTCAAAATGGTTTGGGAAGCATAGTTTTAGCACCTCAAATATCTCTCCACCATAATCAATTGAAAATAAAAATTCATGCTGCCGGCCCCAAACAGTTGGATAAAGCTAATGCTGATGCTTAAGTTAGTCTGTTAAGGAAAAGATTCTTTGAGAGGAAAGAAATGATTATGTAGGTATAAATACCTCTAAGTATATAAATACTAGCTAATAGTGCATGTAGATGACTTGTACCATAGGAAAAATATTTCGTGAAGAATTTTCTAAATGTAGGTGATAAAAATAAAAATAAAATGACTTTCTCATAGTTATACCTTTCTTGAAATGATAGCATCGGCAAAAACATCACCAAGCCCAACAAAAGGTCAGAGAAAATCTTCATTAAGGATATAACATGCTCTGAAGTTAACAAATTGTGTAAAATCAATAGAAATATATTGTTATATGGTAGAAAGTATTATAATGGTATGCACAACAAGGAAATTCAACAATTGATGACTTACGTAGCATATACTGCATTATGACATAATATTTTTTATGAAATAAAAAAAAAATGGAAGTTCATTTTTTTCCATTACTTCAACAAGTACTCAAGCATTAGGGTTCAAAAGGGATTGTTCATGTAAATCCTTATATGATTTCATGCGAACCATTTCTTCCAAAAAAAAATTCAAAATTTTAAACAGAATATTTATGTTTAGCAAGATGAGAATGCTTCATGCGCTTCAAGGTTTACATTGTACTATTAATATCCGTTTTCTTTCTTGATTAGGTTCAGTTCACCAAATTTCAAAGCTTAAGAAAAACTGAAGAATAAAAATATACCAAGCTAACGCACGGCAATAGCTGAAATCAGTACAACTTTCAGTGTAACAGAGCTTCAAATACACTCAGCACATACATGAAAACTTCTAAATTAAATAAACTTCTAAATTACAAAAAAAAAGCTAAATTAAGAACTTCTAAAAAATTAATACACACACACACACACACACACACAGATAGCTTCAAATACGTTCAGCACATTTATGAAGACTTGCTTTTTTATTTATATTACAAAAAAAAGCTAATTTAAGAACTTCTAATATATGTGTGTGTGTGTGCGCGCGCGCGCGCGCGCATGCATGAAACAACCAAAAAAGCAAATTGAATAAACTTATACCTGCTGGAACTAGTAAAAATGACCCATCAGGAGACCACGACAATCTCCTAAAAAAGGAATTCAGTGTTTCATCATGAAATAAATGAGTTTTTGCCTGCGGAGGCTGAATAGAAAAAAAATGAATACTTATTCGGTGCTGCTGCAAAATTTGTTAAATAAGAATTAGTAAAATCAACATACCATAGAATCATCCATGTTTTGTACCTCCAACTTCGTCAGAACATATTGAGACACAAAATTAATATTCTCATAGCCCTTTTGCTTAGTTTGAGGTTTGTTTACATAGATCCGGCATGTTCTATCTGAACTAAGAGAAGCAACGTAGCAACCTAATGGATCCCAAGAAACACCCTGAACATAATGCAAATGAGCATCTAAAATCTGATGGACAGAACCTGCCAACAAATGATAGAATTTTACCATGTAAACTATAGCTGTTTTTTAGCCATCCCACTTTTAACTAGTAATTCACCCACAGACCTTTATTGACATCCCATATTATGCTAGAATTGTCAACAGACCCGGAAATAAGGTATCCACCATCAGGGGACCACTGAAGATCAAGAACATCCTTGCGGTGAAATCTGTTCGAAAAGTTTCACAGTAATTTCATGATATAGCACTGAAATATTAGCCAACATCCAGGACTGCTTACAATAATGTCTTAAAAACTTTCCAAGCCAACCCATCATCTGCTGAGTGCAACTTCCATATAACCAGCTCTCCACCTGCACATATATAAATAATCACTGCCCAGGCCAGCAAATTGAAAAATTGGTGACAATTGGGTTTAGTTCAGCCATGAAATTGAATAAAAGAACATACCATCAGCACCAGATGCAAGAAATTTTCCTACAAAGAAGAGAGAATTTTTATCAAACTTTTCAAGACAAGCAAATAATAAACAAAAATTTTGGAAACATCAGTTATCAAAGTGATATTTTGATGCCCAATACTCCATTAAACATCACATCATACAATATATCTATCAAATCCTTCCATTTCATTTAGAACAAAACAGCACGTCATCCACAGCATCCAATTTGTATATTACAGCATATTTATAGTCAAGATTCAATTCTATAATAATCATACTGGCTTTCTCCATATTTGAACCATATTTGTAACATCAAACATGGTTATTATTCAATGAGGAAAAGTGAACAGGTTACAGGAAAACCCCGATGAACTGAAGCAAATGTACTGCTTACATGGTATAGCGCACTCTTGCAATTATTTAGAAGAAAGAGTAAGTTCATGAACTCAAAAAAACTTCCTGAGATAATTTGACTATAGCCCTTGAAGTTGTTGGAATATTCTTCGAAGCAACAAAAAATCAATAAATTTTCTTTCATTGTATAAAGGAAAGAAGTTATCCAACAAGCTCAAAAGTTCGTTATAGAAAACTCCATTATCTTCTCAGTCAATGCAATTTTCAGCCTTTTGAAGACAAGGATTTACAAAATAATAATAATAATAATTATAATAATAACAAAAATTTTAATGCCTCACGAGCAAGAAACAGAAGATATCATGTAAGTCCCTCGACAACAATAATCAGGTTACCTTCTTTTGTTGATGCTAAGTGCTTGCTGTCTACTATGTCACTTCAAATGGTTTATAATAAAATCACACTTCCTATATCAACGGGTTTCTAGAGCAGCTGTGAAGGGATAATATATTAGATTTCAAACTAACTTAAATCTGTATTAACATCGTTAATATTATAAGCAGGGCAAACCGAGACCTGGCCACTACCATGTTTCTCATTATAAGTACAGGGCAAATCTTTAACAATTATAAAAAGTATGGTTAGTTTGTAAGTAACAGACTGAGAAGCTGAAAGTTCAGAATAAAATAATAAAAAAAAGCTTCAAAACTTTAAGTGGTTTTCAAGATTACTACTGTGATCAAGAAAAATGTAACACAGAAACAGCAGATCGCATGTGAACAAAAGCAAGCAGTCAGAATCACGTGCAGACCATGTGGTGATGGTTTTCTATTAAAAATAAACCCAAATTTAAAATTTGAATAAAAAATTTTTGCATAGAAGTTTAGGCATATGCACAAGATATTTGAACTAGTAGATGCATCAACATACTCATTATATTCATTCGAATAATCAAGATTGCCTACCAAAGTGTTCATATCAACATGCATGTATAGCACATACATTCTTATCAAATCAAATGCTTCTAAACTTCTTTCGGGTGTCAAAAGAAAATCAGAACTTCAGGTGAAAGCTTTTAATTTAAGAATTATCTTTTTCAAAGATCAATGTAACTTCTTCGGAGTGTCAACAGAAAATCAGAACTTCAGCTGAAGACTTCTAATTTCATCATTTCCTATATTCAAACAAATCGATCTAAACTTCTTTGGAGAGTAAACAGAAAATCAGAACTTCAGGTGAAAACTTTTAATTTCATCATTTTCTTTTTTCAAACAGATCAATAATTTTACTACTAAGAAGGCAAGTAGATCCTTGCATGCTAAACCATATTCATACTCTTCCAGAGAACCCCTGCTAGGCACACCAAGCCCAAGCCACCTCTTCCTTAACTGAGCGATCAAATTTTAAATTTATTACCTGCATCCTAGCCACCATATGAGAATAGATAAGGATGTCAGCAGTACCTGATCAGCTATCACAGTATTGGAATTGATCAATTTAAATTTATTGTTCTGATTGTTAAGATTAGTTCGCCATCCCTATTTATCAACTATGTCGTAAGAATATTGAAGCAAGTCGCATCCTCCTTTCCATTTCAAGTTACTTCTGTCCGTACATAATATCAGTGGTCATTTATAATTCAACTAAAAAGTAACAGAATGAGCAGTGCCTTCTTGTAGCAGTGCCAGAAAGCATTGCTTGTTTATTGGCACGTTCTATTGACAACATGCTGAAGAAATGCACCTTCAAAAAAATTGGAGAAGAAAGTGTGGAATCATTTCAGGAAAATAACATTTACATATTTACAACTAGACAAGCTTCGCAGAAGAGGCAGCAATCCTAAACAATAATTTAAAACCAACTTCAAACAACATAACAAAAAATCCAAAGTTTGTTTTATATCCAAGGAATAAAAATTTCATGTGTTATGAAGAACATAATCTAATAACTAGCCCATGACACTAAATTAGGTTCCTTTGCAGAGACTTTCCAACATAATTATTTTGTTTAACTTAAAAAAAAAACAAAAGGCATACATTAAAAATTTGTCCATAAAATGTGTCTAGCTGCAGGAAAAATTTTACAATGTGTGGGTATCTATTTGCAACTTATCTTAAGGAACTTCTGAACTGACAATGTGTGGGTATCTATTTGCAACTTATCTTAAGGAACTTCTGAACTGACGTTCAACAAGAGAAAGATCACTGAAGCCTTGGCCTAACCTATTCCGAATTCCTAGCCAAAAATCGTGAAGCATGAAGACACTGGAATATGAAACAATAACTTTAAGGGAATATAAAGCAATAAAAAATTCAAATGGACAAAGATTGAAAATTGGATCTGAGAGATTTCATGCCAAGAATCAAGAAATATAAAGGGCGCAAAATTTTGCATGGTAACCTGGGTAGTCTGCTGTCTTTGATAGGATAAACTTGCTTAAGAAGTGGGAAACAAAAAGTTTTTTAACCATCATGAAGGACAGTTGCATCCAACCATGTGCTATATGGCAGTGTCATCCTAGCTTTGTTTCCTCATGGGAAGGGTAAAGCCCGTTCATCTCTTCTCATGCAGTAAGTACGACTTCCTCTAATTATTTAGGGGAAGTTTGCTTCACTAGAATCCTAGAATCCAATAAAATTGTGAAGTCAAATTTCCCTACTTTTTGTGCAAAAAAACAAGAAAGGTGGGATCCACTTTCTACACTATTGGAAAAAAAAATATATAGCACTAAAAATAACTTCAGCCTACATATTAAATGAAACTTCATTATGACCATTGCAAAGTTTAATAGCACATAACGAGAAAGCATTTGTGGTAGAAAACATTAGGCGGAGAATTTGAATGGATCTAACCCTGTTTAGGAGATGGAACTATGGGTGGATAAACAAAAAACCTTTTAGAGTGATCAGGGTGGAGAGGAACTGAAGTGTCTAGAGGATAAGTGGAGGTCGTAGAGAGCCCAAATGCAAACAGCCAGGGGAGGTAGAGAGCTTGGGAATGAGTACTTTAGGATATTGTGGAGAGCAATGAAGGTGAAGTGGAGGTTGGGATGATCGTCGGGGGGTGTGAGCACTAGTAAAGAGATAAAAAGAAAGAAATCAGTTTAAGAAAAGGAAGATAGCCGAAAGCTCTTCCAAGTTGGAAGAAACTTGCAAGGAAAGTTGGTGGATAAGGGTTTGGTGAGGTCTAAGGAAGGAGAAAAAGAACACACTAAATGCGACAAATTAGTACAACTTTCACAAAATAAGTCGAGAGATTTGGCCACCAAGTCAATCGGATGGAGATTTGCTAAAAGTAAATTCCAAATCCATCCAATCAACAACAATCCATAGTATTATGGTTCAAACGACAACAACATCAAAATCTTTATCCAACTAAGTGGGGTTGGCTACATGAATCCTTCTTCTCCATTGAGTCCTATTTAGTGCCATATTTTCATTTAATTCTAATAAATTAAGATTATTTTTTATACAATAAGTCCAAGTCATCCTAAGTCTACCTCTGTCTTTCTTAACATGCGTCAAATCTAAAACATCTACTCTTCTAATCGAATCATAAGATGGTCGACATTTAATGTGACCAAACCATCTAAGATGACTCTCCCTAATTTTGTCCGTCACAGAAGCTACACCAACCCTATCACGGATATAATCATTTCGCAATTTGTCTCTAATTGTAAAGCCACTCATCCACCTAATCATTCTCGTCTCGGCAAAACTTAACTTAGTTTTATGCTTCTCTTTTAAAGGCCAAGATTCAGCGCCACAGAGCCTTGCAGGTGTCACCACCATCTTATAAAATTTTCCTCAGTTTAAGCGGTACTTTTCTATACAAACGTAATATTTCCCTCAATTTAGAATACATGTTCAAAACACTTAGAATTGCTTGGCCAGCAATTTTTTTATATGGAGAAGTTTGTTTTGGAACATGGGTGAAATGGCATGGTTGGTCCTTATTTCCACAAGATGTAGCTGAACATGGCACCTTGGATCGTGGGAAAAGTTTTGGAACTCCCTTGGCATGCCTCCTTTATGTGGGGAGCAATTGAGTGTTCACCAAAATAGCCAGACAATGCAATCAAGTCAACCTTCAAGTGGTTAGCCCTTCACATTTGCTCAGAATGTTGATACTTTGGATTTGCTTGCTCCTTTTGATGATAAAATCAACCAATTGTCGAGTCCAAAAAAAACATCAACCTTTACATCCAAATATATAAAGAAAGATGAAAATTAACAAGTGTACACAAAAGTTGTCTTAAAATATGATCAAACTGAGAATACATCAAATTATACATTATCAATTAACATAAGACCACTTTCTAAGCTATTCCATGGACTTTGCAATGTGTCTATGCTGTATTGTATCAAAAAATAAACCAAAAATAATAAATAAATAACTCTTCTCTACCAAGTTTAAGTCAATGCAATAGTATGTCAATTCAAAAAAATGTTTGCCAAAATCCTCCTTGGCAAACCACATCTCATCTGATGGTAGTTGAATTTACAATTTAATGAGGAATATATTGCCCACTAGTGTTTGATGGTACCCACTAATGATAATTTACTCCAACTTCAAAAGTTTTGGATAAATATTGCCTGAACTTGATTTCTTGGTTCACCTACAAGAGGATTAGATTCAAATGCTCTATGTTGTATATTTTCTTCAATTGATCAATAATCTTCAAAACTAAAGACTATTTATGTGCATGTCAAATGAAAGTTCTAGGAAAAATGCATTCCGCAAAATTTTTCACAAGATTTTAAATTAGCAGTATTCTCTAAGTTGAAGTTTATCATACTTGGAGGGAATCTTTTGGGCCAAATATATATCATAACATAATCACCTTCATATTACTCATTCAAATTTATCTAGATTTGTAGATTTAGAATAGTAAGAGTTACCTCACTCAATTCGTTTTCTTATATCATAATGTAGGTTGGTAAAATCCTTGGCAAAAGCTAATACATAATCTAAAAATTGCACGAGGGAATATCAAAAGTATAAATGGGCTCTTTTGGGTTATAGTCATAGTCTATCTCAAAGTGGGTCTTCATAAGTGTTTTGAGGATGGCATCATTACATGCAAACTCTAAAATAGCCAAGTGCAATCCATAATTCTCTAAGCTCTTTCTAACTAAGCGTCAAAGTAGGTTCCACATTGATATATTGATTAGCTTTGTCTGCCCATCAATTTGCGGGTAAAATGCTGATGAAAACTTAAGTTTAAAGCTTAATTATTTTTATAATATTTCCTAAATAGATTAAATGAATTCAACATTCATATCTGATATACTGGTATTACGCATATCATATAGTCTGACTATCTTCATAAAATATATTATTGTATGTGAGAAGAATCAACAGTTTTACTAAGAATGATCAACAAAAATATTGGTAAGCCCTAAGTGCCTTAGGCAGTCCTGATACAAACCCCATATATAAAAATTCTATCAAAGCCTATTTGATACAATAAAGCTATGTAGCACTCCACCTTTGCTAAGTGAGTCTTTACCTACGGATATGTATAACAAGATGATATAATCCTCTCAACATCAACAGCAATAGCAGCAAGAATGTGGCATTGACACCAATGGTAGAGAAATAAGGAGTTGAGACTCGGAGGTATTCCTAGATGTATTCACTGGCGTGGCTGAAGAAGGAAAATTGGGTCAGCATCAACCGAAGATGCTTGGTAGAGTTTTCGATCGGAGGCCAACTGTAGGACCAAGTGTGGCGTGACATCGTCCCTATGAATGTCTATCATCTTCTTTTGAGAAGAACATGGCAATTTGACTGGATGACTAAGCATGATGGATTCATGAACACATATTCCTTCACCAAGGATAAGAAGCGCATCATTCTACTTCCTTCGAAGGAGCATGAGATCACAGTAGCCCTCACTAGCAAAGCAACATCAGTGGAACCCGTTTTAGTGATAACCTAGGACAAGAGGGTTGAGATACACGCTTTTTACACGTGACATATACGGCAGAGGATCACAGTCGACACCGTACCACCAGCTCCACCAACGAGCGAGAGGGTTTAGGGTAATCTCACATAACAACAAAATAAATCGTTCATGGATTACTTTAGGAAGATTCAGTAGTACATTTGGGACAGTCCCAGAAGATTGGACTGAAGTAGATGTTTGCTCGTAAATTGGGGAAGACCCTCATATACCTCGAGAGACAGTGTAGTCGCCATTGGAATCAAGGTACGGCAGATGACGAAATGAAACCTTTGACCTATGAAGTCGAAGCTGTCCCAACCTCGGGAGACTGATGCAAGGCTAGGACCAGTCGGTTTAGCCGGCTGGCAAGGGAATAGGTTCAACCAGTTCCTAAGAGACTGGGCGAGATATCAAAGAGAAGAGATTACTACTCCCCACTTCGATTTCTTTCCTTTCGTGAGTCCCGCCTGGAGCGAGCGGCACTTGAGAGGATCAAGTGTCGCCTACCCTTCTCCTCCTTCCTTCTCTGTTATTTCCTGTTTAGAGTTTATTTATATGCTTGTTAGTAAGAGTTAGGGTTAGTTTTTGGTTGTGTTGCTCTCAAATTTCTTGTGTGGAGTCTTTTTTTTCTTTTTTTTAGGGTTGTATCTGAGGAGATGGTAGTGCTAGGATTTTATCCTACTTCGACGTGGTGATATCCCGTTTTAGTGATAACCTAGGACAAGAGGATTGAGATACACGTTTCAGACATACAAAATATAAGACAGAGGGCATTTCAAGGTCTCACGGTCGACACCGTACCACCAGCTCCACCAATGAGCGAGAGGGCTTAGGCTAATCTCATAGAACAACAGACTAAATCGTTCGTGGGTTACTTTAAGAAGATTCAGTAGTACATGTGAGGCACAAAGTCCCAGAAGATCGGACTAAAGTGGATGTTTGCTCATAAGTTGGGGAAGACCCTCATATACCTCGAGAGAGTGTAGTCGCCATTGGAATCAAGGTACGGCTGATGACGAAATGAAAGCTTCAACCTATGAAGTTGAAGCTCCCCCAACCCCGGGAGACTAACGTAAGGCTAGGGCCAGTCAGTTTAGTCGGTCGGCAAGGGAATAGGTTCAATCGGTTCCTAAGAGGCTAGGAGGGAAATCAAAGAGGAGATATTGTCGCTCCCCACTTCGATTTCTTTCATTTCGTGAGTTCCGCTCGAGCGAGCGGCACTTGGGAGGAGCAACAAATCAAGTGTCGCCTACCCTTCTCCTCCTTCCTTCTCTGTTATTTCCTGTTTAGAGTTTATTTATATGCTTGTTAGTGAGAGTTAGGGTTAGTTTTTGGTTGTGTTGCTTTCAGATTTCCTATGTGGGGTCTTTTTTTTTTCCTTTTTGTAGGGTTGTATCTGAGAAGATAGTGATGCTACGACTGTATCCTACCCTGACGTGGTGATATCTTCCCTAACCCTTCTCCTCCACTCTCCTTAATAGTCGGTCATTTCAATCCCCCACCTCCCCGCCCCCATCCTTTCCTGCAGCATATTCCTGTTGTCCAGCCCGCTCGCCTTCCCCCAGCACCCTGCCGCCTTTGTCCTACAACCCATCATTACTCCATCACCCTACCACACCCTCTCTGCAGCGTATTACTGTTGTCTACGCCTCCCCGTCGACTCATCTTACAATAGTTCTCCCTTGTTTTTGGCCCGGAACACAATCACCCAACACCCCTCACCCCCTTCCCTGCAATTTTACCTGTCATCCCACTCTTCCAACCCCCAAAACCATCCCTAAACACCCCTCCAACCTCCCATACAGCCCTCAAGCCCTTTTTCTTTTCCCCTTGTCCCTTGCCCGTTGCCACTTTGCCAACGTCACCACCTACCCAGAGTCTTTTCCTCCCGCAGTGGCCAGTGTGTAATGTAGTTGTGTTGTTCGTTCAACTTGGTTTGCTATTGTATTCCCCTTTCCTATTGTATCGTGTTGTAACCTTAATTCAGTATTAATAAAAGCTGCTTTGTGTTACTTTCCTAACTAGTTATGGTATCAGGTCCTATCGTATTCCTCGTAAATAAAGTTCATTCCACCCTAGGAAAATCTGACATGGTTAATGTCCTTGATGATTTTATTTAAGATTCTTCACAAGTATCAAATAAATGTGCATAAAAATGGAACTAAAATAAATCATTACAAAAAAGTAGAAATAAGAAAATGCTATATCGCTTCAAGCCATAAAAACAAGACACTTCCAAATAGAATGAATACAATTTAAAAATATAACATAATTAGATGGTAAAACAATATAAATCGGAAAGCTTCTCAAAATTCCAATCTGGAAAATATAGTGGTAATTTTTTTAAAAAAAAAGAATTAACACTCACCTGATGGAGAGAAACGCAAGGTATTCACAGTAGAACTGTGGTAAGAGAGGCATTTTTGATAGGAAGGAAGGGTGAAGTTCTTTTGTGATTCACCTGGGGCAATGACCCAAAGCTGCAAAGGAAAACATGAATAAATCCCTCTTGAAGACTCAATAAAATTATACAACTAATGACAGATAAAGACTAAAACCATTAGACAGAAGTCACAGAACTACCCTGATCATGACTAAAAAAATTAAAATTAATATACTTCAAGGCCCAAGGAGGGCAACTTTGTTTGAGGTAAGCGATAAAAAGCAATTAGATTAGAAGCAATATTTTAAAGGCTGAAGTAAAATGTGGGGCACTTAATTTACTATAAAGCAAGGTGTAAACCACAAAGCAAATGACATAAGCCATGTGAATTTTACATACACAATAACACAAGTATAATTGAAAATCAAATATGAAGAATATTTTTGGAATAAATTTCAAAATTGAAAGTCCAAAATCATTTCATTCATATTCTAACTCCAAAATAAATGATATTTGAAGGAAGAGCTAATTATGTATCAAAGCCAAACCCAATAACTTAGATATATGTTAGTGATTAAACCTATGAAAATTTGGTAAATCTGAGTTTAAAAAGAAAAACTCCAAAGCTCGATTGAAGCTCTAAGCATCGAAGGTCCCAATCACTTACAATGAACAACTCAAAAGAGGTTAAGTAAATGAATGCTCAAAGAGTTAAGAAATTTAACACAAGAAATTCAAAAGAAAAATGAAAAGAAAAGATAGAGATTAAAGAAAATACTTGTGGGGAAAACAAAAAAAAAAAAAAAGATAACAACCTCAAAAAGAAAACAATTCAAAGATTTAAACTCGCATATAAAGTTACCTCATCTAAAGGAAGCAAAAAAATTGAGGTTTTTATAGAGAAGCACTAAATAAGGACAAAAATAACCTAATTAGCTTAAGAGCCAAGAACATGCCAATTCTTACAAGAAATACTTTGTTTGTGTTGCTTTCTCCAAAACTAATTTTTCTATGTAATCAAAATCTTTCAGATTTTATTTTGACATTTCAAGATAGGAAACGGTTTTGGCTCATTATAATGATAAGTAAAATGATTTTCATTTATATAGAAGTTTTAAATTTACTTACATTTAGCTTGGCATTAATTTTTGTTCTTACATGATTATCCTAATTAACGTAATAACGTGTATTCAACTGAAGTGACAAATTGTGTGGTGGAGAAGACTTAAGGTTAGGACTTGTGATTTTTGTAGGGGGGTTCCAAGAGATGTTATACGAGTTGAGAGAAGCTTGGGATAGAGTTTAATGATGTGAATATAAGGGTAACCCTAAGTTAAGAGACATTCAACAAGTGCGAGTAAAAATTTAGACCCTAAGCATGGATAATAAGTAACTCTATAGCTTGAAATCTCTTGAATATTTTAGATAGCTCAGTTTAACTACCTTTAAGAAGGTTTCAAGATTTTTGGAAGTCTTCTAATACTTTTTCAATATTATAGAATCAGAGTACGTCATGCAAAAACACAATCTAGATGGCAGCCCAAGTGAAATGTTTGGATTTGAAAAAAGGATTTCGGGACTAAAAAATTAGACAAAACTCCTATAGGTAGTAAAAATGTCTATAGAATATATTCAAAGTTGATTATAAATTTTCAAGGGATTTGACAAGTCGGAAACCTTGTAAAACAAGACTATGTGATGCATGTCGTGGACGACAACACTACTGAAGAATTAGCTATATTTTTGTATGTGAAAATTATTGAAATTTGGTAGAAAATTGAAGACGTGACACAAGAAAACCATAAAAAAAAAACTTAAAAAAATGCAAATACAAGAATGAGGTAATCTCACCTAAAAGGTAAGTTGAGAAAGGTCAAGTCTCCTCTAGTATAAAAAGTCCACTAAGCCTCTACATCCTTGAAAAATCTATAAAATACCAAAAATCCAGCCCCCTTACACACCCTAATACAATAAATGAAAAAAATAAGAGGAGAGGGAAGGAATCAGTCCTACTGATTTTAATAAATAGGAGAGAATCCCCCTTTTGACTAATCCAAATAGGTGAAAATAAAATAATTAAATAATATTTTACGTAATTAAATATTTATTTATGAATTTTGACTTTCATCATGATTTGAAAATTAAACTCCATATAAAGTAAAGTTCAAATTACGTCCTCTAAAGTTTAGATTCTTTTATTATTCTGCTATAAGGAATGCTTTAATTACACTAGCCTATCATCACAATTATTTGTCCTAAAATTTAGGTCTTCAACAATTTTAACTAATCCCTCAAACTAATACATGCTAGCTGACCTTGGTGGCATGGTAGATGATGTTGTTTTGTATGCAATTAAATGAAAATGTGTATGTAAAAGTGAGTGTTTACTGCCATATGATGCCTAAGGGTCTGTTTGGGGCAGCTATTACAAATTTTTGTTTACATGGAAAAGCTAAACTGCAGCCAGAAAGCTATCACCGCAGCTATTTTCAGCGTTTTGAAAACGCACAAACTACCAAAAAGCAGTTTACCCAAACAGACTAGGTGCGTTTTCAAAACGCCACCGCATTAAATAAACTGCCCCAAACGGGCCCTAAATGATGTGAAATGATATCAAATGCGAAAATCATACAAATATAAGAATATGCAATATCAACAAAAATAAATTCAACTAATGAATACAAATAAGCTGAAATGATGATTTAATTACTTCATAACAAAGATATAAACAGCATTCTTATGTTTTGATCAATAAGAAAGATGAAAAACATAAAAAGTATTTTGTGAAACTCAGTTCCTCACTAAATTTATTGCCATTCAAGTGATTTTTATGGGATAGATTAAGATAAAGGACTAGGTCAATTATATAGAGCCAACTAATTAAAGGAATGTCATAAAATTCATAAAATTATCAATACGCAGAACAAATATATTAAATAATATGAAAATACACCATATAATAGAGAAAGAAACATATAAAAGTATTTACCCAATTACCAATGAGCAATACCTTCTTTATGTATGTTTTCTTCTAATGCTTGCCTCCTGCTTCAACCCTATCTTTGATAGCTAATTTTGATAGATGATCTGGTTATCAAAACCCAAGTTTAGGCCTTATGATCTTTGTAAGAAGCTCCAAACAGTGTTGAACAAGATAAGTAAGACTTAGGTTGGGGTTTGGCACAGTGAAGAATCAAGAAGAAAATCTAAGGTATGGACCAACCTAATAATGGGGACAAATCTAAAAATATAAAATAAGAATTTAAATAGATGATGCCACGGCTTGAAAGTTGAAACAACTTGGAAATCATACCCATCCAATCACTTTCTAAAATATTTTAGGATTTTTTAAATCCTTTTGATATATTTTTCAAGATTTTAGAAACAGACTAAATCATACAAAAACCCAATATAGAATCCAATATAGACAACAGCCCGAGGCAAAATATTTGGATTTAGAAAAAGGGTCCAAGGCTTAAAAATTTAAAGAAAATTCCTATAGATAATGGAGGGATCTCTCTATATTAGATTTCAAGTTGATATTGAATTTCAAAGGACTTTGATGGGTCAAAAGTTTTATTAAAAAAGACTACATCCAATGTGAGGTAAGCCTTGGCCAACCAACAAGGTTTTGGCTTATGATTTTATAAGAGAGATTTAAGAAAACTTGTGAAAAGATGGAGGGGGAGGCACAAGATTCCTACAAAAAGAAAATTAAAAAGGATAACAAAAAATTGGATAAGACTACCACTCACCAAAAAGATAAGTCGAGAAAAACCACCAACTCTCATCTTGATGAGATGGCCAACACACCTCCCCATGTTTGGAGAAACTCCAAATTACAACTTCAATCAATAAACATTTCCATTTATCCACGAAATAATCAAATATATAATCCCCTCACAAACTCTAATGTAAAAAAGGGAAAAATAGCAAAAATAGATGAGAAAGATTGGCCTCTCCCTTAATTTGATATGAAGGGGATTTTTCCTATTTTTGCCAACCTTAATATGTGAAAATTAAATAATTAATTGCATTTTTATGTGTGATTGATTATTTCTTCATTATTTTGCCTTTTTTCTCATGATTTGAAAATTTAAAGCCCATCAAATTAGAAATTTTAAACTATTTCCTTCAAACAATCTCATAGAAATAAAACATAGAAAAGTCTTACAAAAAATACACAACTAAATAATCTTAATAAAATATGGACTTCTTTATGCTCTTCGTAAAAAATTCATCGTTCTTCTCTCTTTGGTTCATTGTAATTGGTCTAATGGCTCTCTCTGTTGCATCAAAAAGTGTATTTGATTTGATATAATCTTGAACTAAATATCTTCAACTATATGTTTTTGTTGACTACTCATTGCATTTTCGCTTTTCCTTGAAAGAAATAATATCATAAAAAAGCTAGTGTGAGTGTATAATAATTTGTTGGTAAAAATCTTGCAAGTAGTTTAACAGCACATTAGGATTGAATCCCTCCCATATCAAATTTGTTCTGACACTTAAACTTTCTCAAAGAAAAAGAATAGACATTGCTAAATAGTTTAGAATTTTGAATATCCGGTCAAGTCCATTTGCAATATATTTTCAACAGTATGGCACCTTTTAAAATTATTTAAATAATAATTATGTGATGATTCACCTTATGGTGTCTTAAGCCCTTTGACAATTAGGATTAGTATTACAGGCCATTAATAAGCCCAATTGAGAATAATAAGCACCTATTGAAAATAACGAACCATATCAAGCTCTTATGTTATTCTTTTTCTATAATTAGAATCCCTATTTTCATATCTCAAATGTTCCCCAACAAGTTGGGTCTCGAATCATATGAATAATAACCTCAACAACAACAACAACAACAACAACAAAGCCTTAATCCCACTATGTGGGGTCGGCTACATGAATCCTTTTTCTCCATTGCGTCCTATTTAGTATCATATTTTCATTTAGTTCTAGTAAATTAAGATCATTTTTAATACAATAAGCCCAAGTCTTCCTAGGTCTACCTCTATTTTTCTTAACACAAGTCGAATTTAAAACATCTACTCTCCTAATCGGATCATCTAATGGTCGACGTTTAATATGACC